TTGTTTTCTTTCCTTCTTTTTTTCTTTTTTTATGACTTCATAGTATTCCAGAGTTGAACAATGAGAACACGTGGACACAGGGAGGGGAACAACACACATTGGGGCTTGTTGGGTGATGGGAGAGCAAAAGCCTCAGGATAAATAGCTAATGCATTTGGGGCTTAATTACATAGGTGTTGGGTTTGATAGCAAACCACCATGGCACACATTTACCTATGTAGCACACCTGCACATTCTGCACATGTATCCCGGAACTTAAATTTAAAAACATTTGGGTTGAATGGTATAAGAAGATAGGTTAGATTTTGTTATGTGTTAGTAGTACAGTAAAGGCAAGTAAACACATTTTCAGATTTTTATGGGCGTAAATAGGAAACTACCAATTCAGACTTTAAGGAAGAACACTAAATGTTTAAGGACTCCGGGTAATTGTTCAATGTAGACTCATACATCTTACAATATTTTATGCAAATTGAAAGAATATCTAAAAATGTTGCAGCTTTATTTATAAAAAGTTTAATGTCCTTATTAAGGAAGCTGAGAATTATTGATGTTTAGGTGATCGTTCTGTAAATTCGATGAAAAAATATTGATTGCTTTAGAAGTTACATTTGTGTTTTCTCTTATTTTTTCCCTTTTCATATATACTAGTAGAGTATATGAATGAATACCTTTTGGAGTCTGGACTTTTGGTCTAAGAACTTGCTCAGAGACAGGAGAATTTAGGAAGAAAAATTAAGATTTTTAATGACTTTCCCATAAACTTAAAAGAAGGTCTCCTTTTCAACAATAGAGTCATGTGTGCTATCATTTATCTACAGTACTCACCTACATTTGAGCTTGCAATTGGTTGCTAATAGACTGATTGTTCATGGATCTTTTTTTAAAGGTTTTGATAACATTGTACTGGCTGGGAAGAAAAGCACAAAGCAACCCCTACTATAATGGTCCCCATCTTAATTTGAAAGCATTTGAGAATCTCTTAGGACAAGCCTTGACGAAGGTGAGTAAACCACATCCGTGTGAGATTACTACTGTGATACAGTACCACTACTTTCCCTTCCTCCTCTCTTCTCCTTTTTCTTCTCCTCCTCCTCTATAACAACGTATGGCAACTCTGACTCTCTTTGTCCCACTCTTGATTGGGCTGAGTAAAGAAATTGTTACTCATTTACTGGCTTTATATGTCACCACCAAGGAGTGAGTTGAGTCTATTCCAGAGCAATTTCCAAGGTTTAGAGACTTACTCTTTAATTCTACATAATTTGGTGACACATGCATTGGCTTCCTTCCCTACACACTTTATATAGCTTAAGTATTTCTATACTCATTGTAAACTCAACCTGTAGTAGACAGGTGCTTCCTGGACTGTTAACGTGCATGGAATATACTCAATTTCTTTGCAATAATGTGTTGTTGTTATAGGTGATGGTCTTTAATGCCCACACTTAAATATCCCCACAATTCTACCACGCTGCCTCTGTTTCCAAAGAGTAGTACATGGTGTGAACTGGAACTTCATACAAGGTTTTGAAGTTAGAATCCTTTGTTTTCTACACATTTCTGGTCATGCATATTCTGGAATCAATGTGACAGCCTTTTGAATGCTTGAGGACCATTTGAAGAGAGCCAAGTGCTAGGACTGACCATAGTTCTGCCAAGTCTTCATTTATAAGATCTATATGGGAATACAAATCCTCTGGGTAGGGTTATTTATTCAGGGAAATTTGTAGGACTCAGAAGAGCCCTTTTGTATAGTTGTAATAGCGTTTCATCATCTAATTAGTAGTCATTGTTTCATGGGTTTCTCTAATGGTTAAATGATACCGCATAAGTAAGGCATTTAGCGTTAGTCTCTAACACATTGTAAGGTTGCAATAAATGTTGGTTGCAGTGATTGCAAGATAGAAATTTTAGACCAGGATGAACATGATCACCTTGCCTTACATCTACCTTGATCTTTTTTCTTTTTTTTTTGAGATGGAGTCTCGCTCCCTTCACGCAGGCTGGAGTGCAGTGGCGCCATCTAGGCTCACTGCAACCTCCACTTCCTGGGTTCAAACGATTCTCCTTCCTCAGCCTCCGGAGTAGCTGGGATTACAGGTGTGCACCACCACACCTGGGTAATTTCTGTATTTTTAGTCGAGACAGGGTTTTGCCATGTTGGCCAGGCTGGTCTTGAACTCCTGACCTCAGGTGATCCCCCTGCCTCGGCCTCCCAAAGTGCTAGGATTACAGGCATGCATGAGCCACCATGCCCAGCCACATCTACCCTGATCTTTAAATAATTTTGCCTGAGCCCAGCCACAATACAGCAATTCCTGTTCACCCCCCAAATGTAAGAAGTCAATAACACTCTATTGAAATTCCTTGAATAAGTTAATTCAAGAAACAGCTGCGATATTAACATGCATACACATTGTAGTAAGTGTTGAGAAAACACTCATAAGAGATTACCTAGCCTCACAAAGCACGATTGTCTGAGATAGATGAGCACATTGGTCACTGCAATGAAGAATGGTGAGGCTCTAATGGAGGAATTTCAGGGGGCTTTGAACATAGGGAGAGCCTTGCCTTATAGTTATGTCAGCTAAGAAAACTTTTGGTTAAAAACTGTGTGGGACTTTGACTTATGTACTAGTGCTCTCTTTATCACTTTTGGTCCTTCTAATGACAGTCTGACTCAGATTGAATAATCCTAATACAGTGTCTATGCCAGGAATGCTTTGTCAAAGGCTGTTTCCTGTTACCAGTTTCAAAACCAGAGGGAGTAGATGAAGACTTTATGGTAGATAAAACTATCGTTGTGGTTCTATTATTCTATGATAATAAAGTGATAATAACTGTAGAGGCATGTGACCATATCACTAGTTTTGCATCAGTTCTATTGAAATCAAAACCAATGTGTTCATCAGGCTTTTCCCATTTAACCAGATAATGCCTAAAAGCGAACATAACATACCAATTAAAAATCATTGGTGTAAGTTGTAATAGCTCAGTCATCTTATAAGTTGGAGGTGACTCATTTTAGGTGACTCGTCAGGGTGCCTCCTTAGAAGCCAGGCACCAGGGTCAGACAGGTTATTTTAAAACTGAAGTGACTGCCATCAATAACTTTAACATTTATGAAGTGAAAAATCCATCTTGTGTGTTGAACTCTAAGGCCTTAGCAAGTACATGTCTAAGAAACCTGATGGATCTAAACACTTAAAAAAAAAAAAAAAAAAAAAAAAAAAACTTTCTGTATTTGAGAAAAATTTTGGCAGCACCAGCACTAGGCCTGGCTTCCACATCGGCTTGGAAGTAGCAGGATGTAAGGTAGGCACTTGCATTTTCATGACAGGATGTCAACTCTGATTCCAAGGTTTCTGGCATCTAAACCACATGAAACCTCCCTGAAAGCTACTAGACCTTATTGGTGCTCCAAACACGCGTCAAACAATTAAATCATGAATTGACAGTATTACGTCAAAAGTATGCCTGAGACAGCTGCTAATTAATTATTCACTGCAAACACTCTTCAGCTTTTTTCTATGTTGAAAATATTTATAATTGAAAGAAGAGTACAACAAATACCCAGATACACAACCTCAGGTTCAATTATTATAATTTTCCATTCTGGCTTTATCTACATAGGTGTTTATCCATCTATGTTTTTACTTAACCATTTTAATATAAATTACAGATGTATTTCTCCCCCAAATACTCAGTATACATCTCCTAAGAATATAAATATTCTTCTATATAGTTACAGCATTGATTATACTTAAGAAAACTCAGATATTCTCCATTATCTAATATTCAGTTGATAATAAAACTTTCTTAATTGTCTCCAGCTATTTTTCATAGCACTTTTTAATCTGAATCATGACTTAAGGGTCACATAATAGTTTGATTGTTAGTAATTACTACGTTCTTTAAACTGTCTCTGTATTACTAAGCTCGTCTGAAAGCAACATTTCTGATTTTTACTGTGACAAAATTATCTTCACCACATTAAAAAATTGTTACTAGATAGTCATTGGTAAGTATAAGTCAGGACTGTGCCATGGGCTTTGTAAATTTTACTCACATCCTATTGTTTAAAAAGCCAGGTTATATTTTGTCACTAGCATTCCTAGAAGAATATTAATTAAATGTGCTTATCTTGAGTAAGTTCTGTGTAATTCACAAACCTACAGTTAACATCATTTGCGATGTTTCTGTGTATCCTTTATTTGAGCCAAACAAATATTTTATTTAGGTCCAGAGAGAATAAGTTTTATATGTCGCAAACAAGTATATGCTTCTCTTGATTCAACAAGAAGGATAACTCAGCTGCCAGGACCTTAGAACTAGGTTGTGTAACTAGTGAAAGTAAATGAATTCTGTGAAATGTATGCCCACTTGCTCCTTTTTATTTTTTTGGGGAAGGAAGTTAAATAACTTCAGTTGTTAAAGTTTTATGTTATATAAGCCATCCCAAATGTTTCCTGGAGATAGACTGAATATAATCTTGTTGATTAATCTCCTTTTGGTTGGCTAAGTTAAGGTTAATTTTTCTCTTTGACTCTTTTCATATTTATTGCTAGAGAACTGTGATAATTGATTTTAACACTTCAATGTTATCCTGAACTTCCATTAAATGAGTCCCCTTCCTTATTTTTAAATAGAACATAGGTACTAGTTTATTAAATAATATTGGATACCTCCTTATTGTATCAGTTGTGGGGAAACAATTATAGATTTATTTTCTGTTTTTCATCAGCTTTTTTCTATGTCTGACAAAGAAACCTCATTGCTTCACATGTCAAATGAAGCCCAACTTAAATTAGGCAAACAAGCAAGTAATAACCAATTATATTTTTTGGAAGTTTATTTAACTTACTGTTCTTTAAAACATGTTTTCTTTAGGCACTTGAAGACTCCAGTTTCCTGAAAAGAAGTGGCAGGGACAGTGGCTACGGTGACATCTGGTATTCTGAACGTGGAGAATTTGTTGCTCCTTCAAGGCACCATAAGAGAGAAGATTCCTTTGAAAGCTTGGACTCTTTGGGTTCTAGGTCATTGACAAGCTGCTCCTCTGATATCACGTTGAGAGGGGGACGTGAAGGTGTGCTGTGCTTTTGGCTGTCAGTCTATTTGTTTACGTATCAAGGGAGAACTGGGAACAGGACAGAGTAGAAAAATGGAGTGAAAACTAGGCAAAAATTTCATTTAGAAGTGGATTTTCATAGAGATGCAAGTATAATTGGGGGTTTTGTTATTTTTTCCTCCTTCATGGTGGTGATAGTTTCATTTTTGAAAAATTTCACTTCTGGAAAGTACTGTGGCCTGTTTCATCAGTGGTAATCTATCCTGGCTCCTCTCTCCAGATTCAGGCTTAATAATCTGTGTTCATGCATTCTATAAGCTGATATATCAGAACATAAAAAGGAATACAAGATTCTGCAAAAAAAAAAGTCTCTTCTAGTTACTAATTTTCATCCTTGGCTTTTTTCAAAAGATTAAAAAAATTCTCTTAAGCAAAAACAAGGAAAATATTTTTACAATTATTTCTATAGATGAGAAGAAATGATTGCTATCTATCATGACAGAATGTTATGTTAAACTTTGTAGATTGAGTAATGTACCACCACTAACGTGCTGGTAGAAATCCTCCTTTGGTCCTTTCAGGGTCAGAGCTAACCCAAGACAGAGCAAGTGTGAAAGGAACATGTTAGAGACATTCTGTTGTGGGAAGGAACCTTCTTTCAAAATCCTAAGCTTATGGTCAGTTCGGTTATTTCAGTGCACATCTTAATCCTGTGGCCGTTGGGTACAGTGTCAGCAATTTCTGACTGTACATCTCCAGCTATTCAGATTTGACTAGATTGAAATCACAAAGCTTTTTTTTGAAATATTTCTGTGCTTCTGCCAATTCCAATGTGAACACATTGAGTTCTGGCTGTGAATTTGTGCTTGATTGCTAGGGATTTTACATTGCTCATGTATCTGGAATATTACTTTTATATTTCTAGATATTTTTCCTAGCATATCTATTACAAAAAATATCAAAAATCCACAAACTTAAAATAATTCTACAGTGAGCACACATGTATTCGCCGCCGAATTCTGCCATGACGTTTTATTATGCGTGCTTTATCTTAAACCTGTCTCTCTCTCTTTCCCCCCGCCTCTTTCGTTCTCTGTACAGTTTAATCATCTTGTTTTTTGAGGCATTTCAGAGTATATCACACTTGTCCTAAATACTTCAGTATGCACATCATTAACTGGACTTTATTCTTTGTTTTACTTCTGATGTAAAACTTACATAAATACGACATACTAGGAATTTGTTTTCCAAAAACATCAATCAACAATTTATTAACCATGGTAACAAAAAACATGAATTCTTTATCTTTCAGACTAGTAGTAGTTTTTAAAAATGAAAAATAAAAAATGTGAAAGGCTATGTAAGCATTAATCTTTATATCACTGCCACATGTATTGGTCATTTGCTATCTAGGTGTGACATTTTCATAGCCCAGATGACGATTACAATACGTTTAAGGAAATGAATCTGAGTATGTGATTCATCTGAGTGGTTAGAGCTGTAAAAGCAGAGGCGTACATTCTGAACCCGCTGTATTTCTTTGTCCTGACGAAGAACCTACTCCATGTAATGATTGACTTTATATCTAGCTAAGGAATAAAAGGAGAAAAGACAGAGGGCGTGTGGGAATATGCAGGCTTCAGTCAGTTCGGATGCAGTGGCCTGCCCAGTGGTTGGAGGCTAAGTCACCTTCTCAGATCCTTGTTGGAATGGGCACCTGTACATGTAACCAAGAGCAGAGGGCCACTGTCACATCCCTTCCTGATCTTGGAAAAGGGGCTGCAGACCCTGTTTAAAGAGTGCAGACGTGAAGTCTTGGAAATTACAACTAAGCAGGGAAAAAAATGGAGGCACCAGGATGATAAAGCTCTTTTGTGATCGGCGTGTTAAAATTCTGCTGCTACCCTCTAGATGGTAGTCCTAAATTGACGAACACTGTAAGTAGAATAATACTTTTGGGATAACAGAATTGCAATGTCACATTCTCTAGTTTTGTATGAAAACTCATATCAAAAATGATATTTTGGGAAAAAAATCCTCTCCAGGGCACCATACTGGACCCCCCCCCCCCCAAAAAAAAAGACTTTATCTTAAAAATTAAAAATAGGCTATTTGTGACTTAAAAATTCCACATGTGTAGATTTTGGCAAGAGTCGTTGATATACTTATTGGAAATGAGAGATAAATGTCTTACTTTTTAGAAGGTGTTAAAAAGAAAGCACCAGATTATTGACTACTACTCCTCATGGTCATAGCTGTGTTTACTTTCTCTCTTTTGCTAAGACTTTACTCTCCTTTTACTCTGTCCCTGCCTTAGAGCTGTATGTTAAGTGACTTCCTGTAGACGCTTCTCAGTGTGATTTACTGTAGCTTCCTGCCAGGCTGGAGGGAGAGGAGACTGCCTTTAACTCAGGCTAACCCTGCAGGTGCTCTACCTGCTGAGAGCTTATAGCTGCCAGGCTCTGTGCACAGCCAGTCCGGGAGAGAACCCTGGTGTGAAGTAACACTTCCAAATCTTGACAAATGCACAGGAGGCAGGAAGAGAAGAAGGGCAAGAAGGAGAGAAAACTTGTCTTGGATCTGTAGTGTTGTTCTCTCCTCTTTTCTTCCTTTGTCTTTAAAAGCGTATATTTCTTCTTCTTTTAAGAAAGCAGATTACTATTTGTATCTCTCTGAGCTTTAGGGGTATCAAAGAGTATTCTTTTGAATTTGTGTTTAAATGATGTTGAATCATAGTACAAGGTTCCCAGTGTTATTTCCATGGCCACTTAGAAGAAACTGTGAGTTCTGCGCCCTCATTTGGGCGTAAGAGTTGAGATTCCTTTGGAACTTAAGAAGTCATCCAGTTCAACCTCATAGTTAATGTGTGATTCCAGTTCATAAGATCTATCCAGACCCTTTGCAAGCCTGGTTTTTTTTTTTTGTTGTTGTTGTTCCTTCTCTTTCTTTCTACATCTTCCCTGATCTCTCCACTCATATAAATTATAGATAGCTGCGTGCCTTATTTTAAATTACTGAGTTCCCCTAGAATTATTTTTGCATGTTGTTTTAAGTATCTATGACTCCATTGCTAGATTTTACTTCTATGTATTACATCAACAAATCTTATGGAAAATCATGGAGGCAGAGACTGAAGAAAAGGGGCTCACTAGTAAAATAGGACTTTTTCTGCTTTGAGCCTACAACAGCTAAAGAATGTACTGCATGTGCCTCCAGTATGCAAAGCAAGTTCCTCCTAATGGATCTTATCACAACTTCGTGACAAATTTCTAAAAATAATCCCTGCAGTTAGCAGTGGCAGCACTGGGTTTCTAAGGCAAAGACAAAGCAGGCGCGCTGTGTGGGTTTCAGTTAGGCGAATAATCTGGAGAGTAAAGCTAATTCTTGTGCCTCCTTTATAGGTTTTGAAAGTGACACAGATTCTGAATTTACATTCAAGATGCAGGATTATAATAAAGATGATATGTCGTATCGAAGGATTTCGGCTGTTGAGCCAAAGACGGCGTTACCCTTCAATCGCTTTTTACCCAACAAAAGTAGACAGCCATCCTATGTACCAGCACCTCTGCGGAAGAAGAAGCCGGACAAACATGAAGATAACAGGAGAAGCTGGGCAAGCCCAGTTTATACAGAAGCAGATGGAACGTTTTCAAGGTACTGAGATGGGATGTGATTTTTGAGTGTCATATGCTTTTTCAATGTGGTGGGATGTTAAATGTGGTAAAAAAGAATGGTTCTTAAATGTGTTTCCTAGATAATACATTAAGCTTGACTAGTGAGAATATTTTTCATCCCTCTATTTTTAGTTATACATATCTCGAAGCTATTTCTTCGGTTTTAGAATGTCAGCATATGATTTGCTGGGTCTTTTTTTAGCTGCATGACTTCAGTTTATTGGTATTTTTCAGCTTACCAGATAATTTATGTTGTTTATGATGAACCCTGCCATGTCATGTTTTTCCTTTTTTGATTGATATTAGTGGACATGAAAAGAATCCTTTAATTTCTCAGCAAATTAGCAGAACAGAGTGTGGTTTTGCAAATCCAGCTTCCTATCACAGGGAGGCGTGCGGTTTTGAAAGTGGTTTGGACTCTGAGGATGAACGAAGGTTTCCTGACGTAGTTTTGGATGACTTAGCCAACCGTAGATTCCAAGTGAAAAAGAGGCCCCAGAGTCTCATCTCGAAAATCACCTCTCCTAACTCTTGTCCGCAAATATTTTCTCCTGCTGATGTGTTCGCCAGTGGGCTATATGGACTGACGAGGTCAGAAACACTTGTCCTGGATCTGGCTGTCTATCATGCTTCTGATTTTAATCCAGAAAGTAACACCCCAAATCATTTGTAATGTACCTCTTTCTTTTAACACAGCTTCTAATGCAGTATCTTTGGCCCATGTATGTCTAGCTATCCTTGAATTAAAATGAGATGCTGTTATCATAACTTTGTCCTAGGAACTGTGGTGGTGACAGGAATGGAAACTAATTTGCTTTGTTCACGGTGGTGTGAACTTTGTGAGCCAGAAAGCATGCCGTTTGTGTTCTGTGTCACAAATGCTCATGCAGTCTCTTAACCGGTTGGATGTTTTGAACAGTAATCAGAGGAGGACTTGGGGCACCAGTGTGGAGAACTGGCCAACTGTACAAGGAACTTCAAAGTCCTCTTGTTATTTGGAAGAGGAAAAAGCAAAGACAAGGAGCATACCCAACATCATAAAGGATGATCTTTATGTGCGCAAGCTAAGTCCAATCATGCCAAACCCAGGGAATGCTTTTGATCAGTTTCTTCCCAAATGTTGGACCCCAGAAGATGTGAACTGGAAAAGAATAAAAAGGGAAACTTATAAGCCATGGTATAAGGAATTTCAGGGATTCAGGTTTGTCGTTGTGCATGTTTCTGTTACACCGGTGTTCATTGAATACCCCAGCTGGGGTTCTATGTGCATGTTTTTTTTTTTTTTTTTAATAAAAATAAGAGAGACGAGAAAGTCTAATTAGTCCTCTAGCATCTACAGAACCTATATAATGGAAAGGAATTTCTGTTTAAATTTAAACCTGAGGATCTGGATCTGAAAAAGTCCTGCTCTATACATAGCCATCGCATGGCATTATTTTTAGTAGTTCTGCTTTTCTCCAATTCCTTGTCTCATTCCCTCCTCCCTTCTTTTCTCCATGTCACTCACAGTAAAAGGAATTCAGACTCTGAGGATGAGGACTCAGGTTCTGACAGAAGCGCCACCATTTTTAGTAGAGCACGAAAAGCGGAGCGTAGGCTAGACGGCAACTGCCAAAGACCTTCCCTCTTGCTGGAATTAGCTACCAAACGGGCTGTAAAACCGCCGGACTCCCATGCAGCCAGGAGAAGCAGTAGTGCTTCGGATGAGCCCAGGTGCCCCTGTCTGTATGAGCCTGCCTGCTGGGGGTCTGGCCTCAGACACCCCTCTGCCCGCTTCTGCTGCTCCATTAACCTGGGACCTGATTGCACTGAATCAGGAAACCTGACTCACTTAGTGGACTTAATACAAAAGCATAATGTATAACACGCTGCTTTCTGTGCCACTACGTCAGCTTGGAAGTCTGTAGGATATATTTACATGTGGCAGTTCTTTTGAGAAGCCAGTTCAAAAAGTCTTGTTAGAAAGTTTACCTAATTTTACAGTTGTGCTGTGTGTGGAGATGTGGAGAAAGGAAATAACTTTTAGGTAGAGACTGAGAAGGGCAAGTCTAGGGAAAATACAAAGGGAAGATTCCTTGAGCTCTTTTATAAAACTTCAGAGCAGTATATTTTCCCTTTTTCCTGCTGATTGTATGTACCTATTGCATAAAGTGCATGATGCCCAACTCTTGAGCTTTTAAAGATTATTCCTCTTGTTCAGAGGGAACTTAGGCCACTGTGTTGGCAAATGGAATGAGAAAGGGGTACCAGGGGCCGGGCACAGTGGCTCATGCCTGTAATCCCTGCACTATTGGAGGCCAGGACAGGCGGATCGCTTGAGATGAGGAGTTTGAGACCAGCTTGGCTAAAATGGTGAATTATCATCTCTACTAAAAATAGAAAAATTAGCCAGCCATTGTAGGGAGAACCTGTAATTCTAGCTACTCGGAAGGCTGAGGGAGATCAATCACTTGAACCCAGGAGGCAGAGATTGCAGTGAGCTGAGATTGTGCAACTGCACTCCAGCCTGGGTGACAGAGTGAGACTCCATCTCAAAAAAAAGAGGGTACCAGGGAGTGGCTCTCCTGGCTTAGTCCGCTCTCCGGCCCCATCAGTGGCCTCTATGGTGCCCAGCTTTCCTGAGAAGGATAATCTGCTCTTATTTCTTTAGAGAGTATCCAGAAAAATCCTGGGTGTTGGATTAAATGCTAGCCTGTCTTCTTAGCAAGAGTGCCCCCAGTGATCCTCTAAAATAATTTATTCTTAGCAACTGGCTAGCTGGTCTGCTAATTACCTTTGGCTAGTGGATCTGCTAATTACCTTTTCTTCCCAAACTTAATAAGATTCTCTTTCCTTTTTCCTTTCTGTGCATCAGTCAGTTTTTACTGCTTCAGGCCCTCCAAACATACTCTGATGACATCTTGTCTTCTGAAACACATACCAAAATTGATCCCACTTCTGGCCCAAGGCTCATAACCCGCAGGAAGAATCTCTCTTATGAACCAGGCTATAGAAGAGATGACTTCGAGATGGCAGCCCTGGTTCCTGACTTAGAGAATGATGATTTCTTTGTCAGAAAGACTGGGGCTTTCCATGCAAATCCATATGTTCTCCGAGCTTTTGAAGACTTTAGAAGGTTCTCTGAGCAAGATGATTCTGTAGAACGAGATATAATTTTACAGTGTAGAGAAGGTGAACTTGTTCTTCCGGATTTGGAAAAAGACGATATGATTGTTCGCCGAATTCCAGCACAGAAGAAAGAAGTGCCGCTGTCCGGGGCCCCAGATAGATACCACCCAGTCCCTTTCCCTGAACCCTGGACTCTTCCTCCAGAAATGCAAGCAAAATTTCTCTGTGTACTTGAAAGGACGTGCCCATCCAAAGAAAAAAGTAATAGTTGTAGAATATTAGTTCCCTCCTATCGGCGGAAGAAAGATGACATGCTGACGCGTAAGATTCAGTCGTGGAAACTGGGAACTACGGTGTCTCCCATCAGTTTCACCCCTGGCCCCTGCAGTGAGGCTGACATGCAGAGATGGGAGGCCATCCGGGAGGCCAGCAGACTTAGGCACAAGAAAAGGCTGATGGTGGAGAGGTCAGAGTGTGTTTCTGCAAGGATTTTGCTTGTAATGGATGGTCTTGTGTGACTTTTCTGATGCGAGAAAGCAGCTCATCGTGTTGCTCAACTCTGCATGTCATGTGCCATTTTGAAACATCCCGTAAAGTTTAATTTGCTTTAAAAAAAACCCCTCAGTCGTTTTGTAGAATAAGTGCAATTCCATATTTGCATATCTCTAAATCACTTATTTAGGCCTGTTTAAGACTATATATACATAAAGGTTGCCTTTCACTTAAGCAGTACTGTGGTACTATTCAGCAATATGAAATTTCATAAAATATTTTCCAACTTACATTTACAGACTTCTCATGTTCAGGCATTTCTGTAACAGTCTGGTTATAGTTTGGTTTGATGTGTTACTCACATTTTGGAATGTCTGATTTTTGGTGGGGAAGAGTAAAATTTTCCCTTAAAATATGGCATTGCAAATTTCATCTAACTTAATTTTTGTTTTTGGCCTAGGTTTCTTGGACTATCAATTTGTAGCTTATTTTTATTTATAAAGTTCAATGCAAACTTTGACGTTAAAATGCATGGATGGTATTTGTTGTCTGCTGAATTTTGTATGTATGTAATCATGGCCATTTTGATAGTTTATATTATGCAACTTGCCTTTTTGATGAATGTTCAGTTTGTTGAACCGAGGAAAGGACAAATCTAATTAGGTTGAATAAAATTAGAGGATCCAAAGCTAATTTACCTGTCCTTTTCTTATGGATTCATTAGCCAACAGTCAATTGAGGAAATTCTTCATTTTGCTTAATCTGAATTTCTTAAGATAGGAAATTGATGAGAACTTGAGACATGATCAAGAATGTGATGGAAGAAGTGACCTTTTGAGATTTGTCCATCTCCAATTAGATTGTTAAGTGAAAGACATTAAACGTTTACAAACTAATACAACTGGGAAAAATGACTTTTTAATTTTTGGTTTTCTGGTTTCTTAGACTCTTTCAAAAGATTTATGGTGAGAACGGGTAAGTTATATGGTTCACAGTAAAATATCTGTGCATATTGTTTGTTCTTTGTTTAACTTACCGTATTTCTGGCATGGCGTGTCACTAAATGGGGATGCTGTGTGCTGTGCATGAAATTTTTAAAAGGGGAACTCTTTATTTTGCAACCTAATGGTAATATTTCTGTGTCTCAGTGCCCAGTGCATGACAAAATAGTTTGTTTTGTTAGAAATTTAAAATTCAGCTCCATCCCTTTGTTTTTTTTCCTTTTTAAAAATTTAATGAGTTGATTAAAAGTAACAGAAACACTTGCCTAAGACTAGGTATATGTATTTTGGTATTTGATTGCTGCATAGACTAAAATTCTGATTTGCGGATGCTAAAGCCCAAATGACTACATTTTAGAAAATCTGTGATAGGCAAAGAATAATTCGAGCATTTACTTCAAGTTTAGAATATACGCAGTTGACATTATCTGTATAATCGGCCCCCTGGGAACTTTGTTAGTAGGGAAGCATTAATCTTCCCTCAGTGGTATTTGGAAGTATTATATTTTCAAGAGTCCTAATTAGGAAAAAAAAAGTTATAACATAGCTATGTTTATAGTACAAAATTTGCCTTCAAAAACTGCAAAAGTCTTCATAATTTCTAGTATCATTGTTGCAAAAATTACTTTTGTTGTTGTTGTTGTTTTTGAGATGAAGTCTCGCTCTGTTGCCCAGACTGGAGTGCAGTGGCACAATCTTGACTCTCTGCAACCTCCACCTCCCAAGTTCAAGCAATTCTCCTGTCTCAGCCTCCCGAGTAGCTGGGACTATAGTTGCATGCCATCACGCTTGGCTAATTTTTGTATCTTTAGTAGAGACGGGGTTTTACCAGATTGGTCAGCTTGGTCTTGAACTGCTGATCTCAGGTGATTCACCTGCCGGGGCCTCCAAAAGTGCTGGGATTATAGGCAAAACTACATTTATTAAATAAATCATTTATTCATT